TGCTTCTACTGGGCAAAACAGTTACAACTTCATTAGGCCCAGCACACAGCAAAATCTCTAAGTTTTTAGTGGATTTTAATGATGTTACCATAGCTCTTTTAGCAATTTTCCAGCATATTCTGAGAGACAGATTTATAGTTGATATATTTAACCCATTTGCAAACCCACCTCTGAGGCCATAATGCTGGCCCGCAAAACAGGCGGTCCACCCATGCTATTTAACAGCCTTTGATTGTTTTCAATTGTGTTGATGATGAGGATAGTTTGCTTTGTTCATGAAAATGACAATCCTTTTCTAGATAAACTTATACTTTTATTATTTCCTTTGTGAAAAGAAAAGACTCATATTTGTTTTGTGTATAATTTTTGTTTTTAAATTATACTAAGCCGTATGGTCACATAATTTGCAAATGCTCTTCTTCAGTTTCTTAAAATGTTTTAAATCAATTATTAATTTTTTCAATCATTAAAACTTTCATTTTTTTAGAAGTTCTTTTTTTTTTTTTTTTTTTTTTTGGTTTTTTGAGACAGGGTTTCTCTGTGGCTTTGGAGCCTGTCCTGGCACTAGCTCTGTAGACCAGGCTGGTCTCGAACTCACAGAGATCCACCTGCCTCTGCCTCCCGAGTGCTGGGATTAAAGGCGTGCGCCACCATCGCCCGGCTTTTCAGAAGTTCTATATAATTCATCTTCAGATCATCTTGGTCATCTTTTCTCCTCTCTCTTTGTTTCTGTTGTCATTTGTTTTGAGAAAGGTTCTCAGAAGGTAGGGCAGGCTGCCTTTGAAGGGATAACAATCCTCCTTCCTCAGCCTTTTATATGTTAAGATTATAGGCATGTTCAAAATTCTGGGCTTAGTCTTGTTTCTTTTAAAATTATATTAGATGCATCAATTTTCTTGACAATTTACATAGTTAAAGCCTTTGTGCGTTTGTTTTGGCTAATTCTTGTACTTTGTGGCCACTCTGTGCTTTATGATCTTTTTTACAAGTATGTGCGTGTGTGTTTGCACCCGTGGGTGCGTATATGTGTGCATCGGTGTGCATGAATTCATGAATGCTTATGAAGAGGACAGAGAATAATGTCAGGAATGTCACACTCTTTTTCTACTGCTTTCCACGGTTTTTTTCTTTTCTTTCTTTTTTTTTCTTAAATTTATGTAAGGTCTCTTGCTCTCCCAGGAGCCTGCTGATTTAGTCTAGCCACACAGCTGGCCTGCTACCTTCTCTGAGGGAGCCCCTATCTCTGCCTCTTAAATACAAGATTATTGGTAGGCCAGCAGAACTGACAGACATTATGTGTGTGCTGGGCATCTGAACTCAGTTCCTCACACATGTGCAATGAGTGTTTCAGCCATCTTCCCAACCACATAACTTGTAGTTTTTGATAGTGATTTAGCATTTCTTGGCATTTGTCTGTTCCGTTTTTGTTGTTGTTGTTTGTTTGTTTTAACCTGGATTCGAGACACCATCCTTCCCAGAGGGTTTCTTTCCCCAAACTCCTCAGAGACACTACCAAGCTGGGATCACCTTAAGCATGGTCTCAGCTTGAAGTTTTTTTGGATCGTGTGGGCAGTGTAAAGTCAGGCTGTGATTCTCTCAGGATCAGTAACCTGGACGGGATACTTGCCTTTAGTCAGCACCATAGTGAACCGCTGCAACTTCCCTCAAGGTTCTCATAGCCAATGAGGAGTAAGTAGATAGGGCTCAGCTCATGGCTGCCTTGACACACACACAGATTCACACCGTTTTAGTTTCCTGAGGACACAGAATCCAAGCCCCCCTTCACTGTCTGCTGCTTAAAAGGGCATCTGGTCTTTTAAATAGTTTTTCTTGGCCGCTAACATCACACTAAGGCCCATCGAAAGAGTGGAACGCTTGCAGGAGGAAGGGTTATCTTTCTTGTTCTAAACACTGTTCTACCACTCAGGCACCCATGGCTTCTCTAACACCAGGCAACCACTTCCTGGTAAGGGTGGCTCCTCCAGCCCCTTTGGCAGACAGGAACGCATTGGCTTGGATTGTTTGTTCCTCAGCCGCTTGCCTGTGGATAGCTTTCCCCTGTACTCTAGAAAGTATGATTCCAGGGCTTTTTCACTCACCTTTGCAATGCAGTGAGTCATGGTTATAACATCTTCAACGAGTTCTCAAAACTGGGACAGAGTTTAAAAAAAGTTCTTCCTGGACACTTTATCCCACTGTCAAAGGGTGGGTGGTATCTACTGTGTCTGTAGTCTTGATAACTCTGTTCCTTATTTGTCAGATCTCCGATTCCAGTTAATAAGTCTTTATATTAACTTTCTACATTCATTTTGTTATGTTTTTCCCTCTGGTTCTACATGAAGATATCTTTATCTCATAACCTCCCCTCCTGTTCAAGAATCTTCTCACCATTATCACTCAATGAAGTTGCACTAAAACAGACCATACAAAAATGATATTTTTGCTAAATACAGTAGTGTGTACCTATAATCACTGACAAGCTGACACATTTGAGGCCAGCGTAGTTTACATAGCAAGATCAAAGACTTCAGTATAAAGAGATATCACTTCTATTATTTATATATTTACTTTTTTTGTAGGTAAGAAATAGTTCAAGATTGGCAATTTGAAACAATTCAAACTAATATTTTTGGGGTAGTTCCTCCTGCATATCTGTAACAGCACTTACCCCACTAATTGAAAACATCAATTTTAAAAATAATGTCACTTACTGTAAGATTGCAAACCCTTGGGAATAATTTTTAATCTTTTCTAGCTCATGCGTAAATGCCTAATCCAATTCATAGTTAATTACTATATACTCAGAAAAAAATAAAATATGATTGTCGAATTAACTGATTGTGGGAAGTCATTTAGTCTTTTTCATCTGAAATTTCTTTTTTTTTTTTTTCCTAACTTGGGATCATTAACACCTACTCTATCTAATGTTAAACTGGACTAAATGAATATTTGTTCCTACTTCCTTACTGTATTAGAAGTCAGATCACATGTTTCTTCAAGTGCGAAGTCATCTTAAGAGTAATTCCTTTAATAATATGATTTCATTTTTCTTTTCTTTCTATCTTTTTGTTTGTTTTTTGAGACAGTGTCTCTCTGTGTAACCTTGGCTGTCCTCGAACTCACTGTACACTACAACAGTAGAATTTGTAATTCTACTGTTTGTAGATTCACTTGAAAAGCACACACTATTTTAAACATAAAATTTAAACATAAAATGTATTTAAAAAATCCTACTACTTAGCCAGGTGGTGATGAAGCAAATCTTTAATCCCAACACTTGGGAGGCAGAGGCAGGCAGATCTCTGTGAGTTCCAGGCCAGCCTGATCAACCTGGTCTACAGAGCGAGTTCCAGGACTAGCTCCATAGTTACTGAGAAACCTTGTCTCAAAAAACCATTTAAAAATATCCTACTACTCGTAGATAAATCTAACAATACTTCATGTTATTATTTTTGACACTTTGGTGAACATCGTGAAACCTAGTATTAGATTTAAAAAATATACAGTTATTAAAGCTATAATCTGCCCTTTCCAATCAAAAGACAGCTCTGAGCATTTTACTCTATCTTTAAGTACTCTGAAAAATGCTTTTAGTTACTAACATTCTATTACATGAAACACTAGCAATAATTTATCCAACTAATTACACAAAATACACAACTTATGCTTTAATTTTTGCAAGCACAGTAGTATTAAGGCAAACATTCTTAGAAATATTTATGCACATCTTTTATTGTTTCCTTAAGAGAAATCTGTGGGAGGATATGTTGGGTCAAAACATATGAACATTTCCATGTTTGTTTTTAACTGTTGCCAAATTTCTGCCCAGAAGTCATCTACTAATGTGCACTCCCAAATGAGAGAACATTTGAATGCCCACTCAACAAGGAGATAGGTTAGAAATAAAATTAACCATTTGGGTATTAGGAATATTGTTTTTGTTATATTTCTTTTATTTTATAACATGCATGTTTTTATATTTACTAGTCTGAATTCTTTTGTATGTTAGGTCTCTATATGTACTTGCTTTTTTTTAACATTTCAAAATGATTAAAAATGCCATCATTTGTGGGGTGGGCATTATTATAACATGAATAATAAAAATCCAGAGACAGATATTGGGGTTCAAACTAAAGATCCAAAAAACAAAACAGCCAAGTCACTAGAGAAGTCTTACCTCTACCAAGGCTGGGCGGCTGCAGACAGAGCCCTGAGCCTCCATCGCCTCTTGTTTTATATTCCCCTTTAGTGCTGAGATTAAAGGCCTGTGACTCCCCTACTTAGTACTGGGATTAAAGGTGTGAGCCACCACCACCTGGATTTATTTCTGCATTAATCTTGTGTAGCCTAGGGTGGCTTTGAACTCACAGAATCCCTCTGCCTCTGTCTTCCAAATCCTAGGATTAAAGGTGTGTCACTACTGCCTAGCCTCTAGTAGCTTAGTTATACCCTCTGATCTTTAGGCAAGCTTTATTTATTAAAACAAATAAAATATCATTTTACATTATATTTAGAGAAATCAAATCAATGTGTTTAGAAATTAATAATAAATATGGGATTAACCTATTTTAATTTTGATTTTGAAAGTTTTATGTATATTGTGGCCATGAGAAATTCATGTAAAACTTTTCTTATTTTCCTGTGAGTTTGTGAGTTTTATATATTTCTATGGTGAAGTCTTTTTTTCTGTTTGAGACAGAGTTTTAAGCTGTAGCCCAGGCTGGCCTGGAACTTACTCAGTGGTTCAGGCTACCCACTCTAAACTTGCAACAATCTTCCTGATACCACCTCCCAAGAGCTAGAATTACAGGTGTGAGCTCCTGTACCAGGATGGTCAAGTATTTTAATTATGTATTGAAATGTAAGTTTTCTAAGTGTTTCTTGCATTTTTTTTTTCAAATAATATTTTTTTTTGAGATTATGCAATCACAACATTTTCCACCTTTCTTTTCTGCCCTCCAAACTCTCTCCCACATACAACAGAAAAACCAGTTTCTCCTCCCACTGGGTGACTGAGACAAACTTGTTTTGCTTCTATCCAAGAGGAATGAGAAGATCAAATGTAGTTTGGGGAAGGCTGGAGCCATCAGGAATGATAGAGGCGAAAAGTCCAGGCGCCGCGGAGGACTGCTCAGGTAAGTGGGACAAAGGCACTGCCCTTTTCTTGCTGGAATCCTCCCAGGCCTCTCCAGTCTGACTGGACAACCTGCGGGTCCCAGAGGGAGGGCAGGTCTGGGCTAGTGGACGTTTCAGGCAGGGGGCTGGGGGCTGGTCACAAAGGCTCGCATTCCAGGGAGATAAGAGTGGTGTGGGCCTTGACCTCCTCTCAGCTTGCTTGTAATTCTTGCTGATTCCTGTCAACTTCGGGATGGCATCCTTGGAACTAGCATAGATCATTTTGCTACTAAGAAGAACACTCTCGGGGACCCAGATGACCCACCGGGTCCTCCTCTTTGTTCTCCTTGGTCTGGTAGGTTGTGTCATAGAGGGCACAGCTAGCCAGGCAGCTTTTTGACAAAGGTGAGTGAGGGCCACCCACAGTTTGCCCTACATCACCTACTAGGGTTTTGTGCCGGGTTTCCTTCCATCCCTCAAGCAAAGAGCATTGTCTTCTTGGATCGAGGACTTCTGCATCTTCATGTTACTGAACATCTTGGTGACACCCAAAGTCACAGACATACTGGAGGCCATGTTTCTGGAAACAACAACAACAACAAAAAGACCAGGGGAGCTAACTGAAGAACGGAGCCACTGCCAAGGACCAACTTGATTTGTTGTTTTCAAAACCAGCCTTATGATAAGCAGCTACTGTACCCGCCACCACACACGGCTGTCCCCACACTCAGGATTCGCAGTGGTTTTGAGGGCTTTCCATTCCACACTCTAGTTTTAGCTCATAGTCCAGAAAAGATGATTCTGATCGATAGAATACATATTTTCAGTTCAACAGTTATACCTTATTTTATCAGGATCTTAAAACTAAATTAATACAAGCTATATTTTTGTATGTAAGGGATATTAAAATTGACCGCTATTAACTGTATCAAGATTTCTAGCGCTTAAAATCACTTGTACTGAGACAGTATGTTTATGGAGCTGAAAGAGATCATTGTAAACTGCTGGTATAGTCACAGTTTAGGACCAGAGATTACCTTAAGAACAAGGTAACCTAACAGTGAATTGAGGAAAAAGAACTCAACTGTCAATTTGGTAGCCTGACCCGGATGTACACCAACTGCTTTCAGAAGAATTTGAATATCAGGTGAGCAGAATTCCTGATCGATTGACAGTATCTCCATATACCATCCTGATATAGTCAATATTTACAATAGAAACCTACCACATGCTAGGCAGTACTGTAGGTACTGGATGGTACAATATTCCGGAAACTCTGGAGTTCATAGCCGTGAACAACCTGGAATTGAAGACTAGACCCAGCCAAGAAGAGCTTAAATATTCAACTGAACTAAAATATCAGTTTGAAACAAAGCAGACATAGCCATTGTCCTGGGTTAGTTTGTCTCAAAGCAGAAAACTTGAAATCTATCAAATCTGGGGTAGTCCAGAAGTCGGGCTTTGCTGAAGGAAGTGTGGCTTATTCCAGGGCATTGTGCCTCCAGGAACCAGTCTACATTCTGCTTCCCGTCTTGAAATACTATGGAAGTTATGCCACCCAGACATCTTTCAAATGCTTATCTAGGATTTGACATCTAAAAATACTCCCTGGATCCAAGTGGTTTCAAAGTCTGATAGAGTAAATAGGGATTTCTCTTTTAAAGTGTTTACATATAAAAATTACAGCTCAGGATAATTTAATTTGATGAGTCTGGCAAAAATAAATTATTGCTGTCACATAAAACAGGTGGTATACTTTTCCTTCTGAATGTCATAGCCTTGCCTTTAAGGCATTTTTAAATAAAAAACACATTATTTTTGGTAGTAGGAGCCAATAATTATGTCAAATTATATGCTAAAGAAGTGTCTTTAATTGTAATGTAAAATATGTTTTTTATCGAGAATTATGTTGTTTTATCCATCTCATCTTACTTATTGTTCATATAATCTACTCATTATATCAGAAGAAATAAAACTCCATTCCTCTTGAAATTTATATGACATACCCATCACCTGCCTTAGTCTCACCTACTTCCTTATTCTTTTAAAGCAGTATCTGCAGACAAATCATCCATCAACAGCTGTCCTAGGCAAAAGGCTGTGTGGCATCTCGTGCTTGCTCATACCCTGAAATGGGATTCCTTGGTCCTTGCTCTTTTTCCTCCTTCGAATAAACTATGGGTGACTTTCAACCTGTTCTAAGCTGATAACACCCAGGAGGCTTAACAAAATCATGCACAGGAATCAGATGCCTGGATTTATCCCCTCTCTGGTCCCATGGAATTGCTCTGTGTTCTGTTCACCTCTACCTTCCTTCCTCGTCAAGGCAGGCGACAGGCTTTCCCCTAGAGAGGACTGCTTGTATGGAAAGGTTCTTCCAGGTGCCCTCTGCTTTCCTTTGCTTTGTTAACTTTTGACAGTCTGCTCAGTAAAATCCTCACCTCTTTGCTCCACGAAAAGAGACAATATTCTTGAAGGCAACTTGTTAACTGGAAACCAGTATTTCAGTGCAGTTGATTGCCTGTTATGAGCTCCCCAAATGAACAAACCAGGCTGATGAGCAGTGCTCCTAGCATGTGCTTCTGGATAAAGGGGGTTCACGGTCTTATAAATAAAGCCAGCTTTCTTGTCCTAAAAGTATTCATAGCAACTGAAGGATTTAAAAGTCTATAAATATGGAAAATAGAATAGTTACCCTAGCCGGGAGGGAGTGAGACCTTCCTTTAATCCCAGCCCTTGCAGGAGAGATGGAGAGATGAGGGTCTCTAAAAGTTCAAGGCCAGCCTGGTCTATACAGCAAGTTCCACGACAACCAAGGCTACTCAGAGAAATCCTTTCTCAAAAAAGCAAAAGAGAGGGAGGGAAAGGAACATGCCACCATGTCCAGCAGAAAATAATTATATTTTTAATGGTGAGTAATACAGCAGAATAAACCAAAATATTTTTGGTATTTTGTCATTTGTATTTTGCCCTGTCTAGCTCAGATGTTAGCCTCAAGATTTCATTTTTCTTTTCTTCAGATATATTGGCAAAGCCAAGCAGTAGTTACATGAAACAAGTTTGCTCTTAATTTGAGCAAAAATCTAAAGTTATTATGGAGGTTAAGCAAAATACCTCAGAGACCAATAAAAGGCAAGAACACCCTTTAAGGCAGTGAGTGGTTCTCAACCTGTGAGTGTCAGCCCCTTTAGGGGCAGGGTCTTTAACGACCTTTTCACAGGGGTCAAATATCAAATATTCTGCATATCAGATATTTACATTACAATTAGTAACAGTAGCAAAACTACAGTTATAAAGTAGTCACAAAAATAATTCTATGATTTGGGGTCACCACGTGAGGAATTGTATTAAAAGGTCACAACATTAGAGAGGTTGAGAATCACTGCTTTATGGGTTTCAAGAAGATAGGAGAGTAGGTAGGTAAGGACGTAGAAATAAGAGATGAAGGCGCAAAAGAACTCTGGGGTAAGTGGCCCTGGATTGAGGTCCAGGTAGGGTGAGTTCCAGGTGCAGACTAACCAGGTCAGCAGTGCCTCAGAATCACAGCAGCCCTGAGGCAAAAAGTCTTTCTGAGCAGGCCCAGGTTCCAGCAGAGACCAGTGTTGCCTCTAGGCTAACCAGAATGGCTCCTTAAGAGCTTTGTGATCTCAAGACAAGCAGAAATTTTACATGAACGCATTCAGGGTTGAGGAGCTGCAGTCACCACAGATTGAATCTGGTTGGCCTGAAGGAACGCGGATGTGGGCTCTGGTTTACAGGGTTGGCTGAAAAGAGAAGTTTTGTATTTGATTGTTTGTTTGTTTTCTACAAATTTTCACTGACACGATGGAGGTGTTGTAATCATAAAGATGGCAGTCATTTTCTCCATCACGTCGTAAAGGATGATACTAGTCAATTTTTCAGAGGGAGTTTCTCCCCAGCCACACACAGTGTGGGGTACTGCTGTGTTTTTAAATCTTGAAAGGATCTTGGAAATCTAGCACAAGTCCTTTAGCTTATAGATTAAAAAGCTGAGCCTTCAGAATGCAAGACAAATCCTGCAGAGCCACAGCCTTAAACCCAGGGTAGAGTCAGGGATCTGTTCTTCCAGGTAATGTCTGTCTACTTTCTTGGAGGAGGAGTTGTCAAGAGCACGCTGTGGTGGCCGTAGATGAATGAGATATCAAACTGTTAGGAGCCTGACAGTCGGTTGGCGCCACAGAAGAGGGAGAGGGCTTGATAGTCATCACCCGCATACTGTTCAAAAGCTGACTTTACTACAACTCACCTGAGATGGTGAGTTTTCAAGTGTAATTCACCCGGAAAGCATTGTTATTGACTAAGCTTCGCTAGTACTATGTACGGCACATTCTTCAAGAAGACCCACGTAATCCTTCTCATGTTGCACAAAGACGGGCTATGATTCCTTCCTTTGTGTCTTCCCTAGTGTTTCCACAGTGGGACTGCAAAGACAATCTTTGACCTACATTTTTACTCTTTCTATAACATGACTGTGATGTAATTCAGAAGGGACCAGCAGAAATGGCAAAACACAACTCAAGGGGTCAGAGATATTGTGAAACCGAAGGGATGTACATTGTGCAAGGGATAATTTACTTAAGGATCCGCACTAACCTGAGAAGACCAAGTGGATGTGCTTCCATAATGAAAAGCCACTATGGAATGGTGTCTGTATAGCTTACTGTGATGCACACAGAACCATTCTCTCCTTGTCATCCCGTACACGCTGGCTGTACGTTTCTTCCAAGTGTTGCTGCCATTTGAGCGCCTTTCCTAGTCACTAACTTAGATGCAATTGAAGCAATTTTAAATTCCCACTCAGGGAAAATAAAACTACCACTAGAAGAAAACATGTTTACTTTGATTTGTTCATATCAATACATTTTAAGTACACACACACATACACACACACACACACACTCACAGAAGTAGAAACGCCCAGAGGCTTAGTGGTCAACCTAGTATCTTGGCTAAGTTTACCTCACTGGATCAAATGGTCTTTGAGGAAGTTCCCTAACTCACCGCCAGGTCCTGAATATTTTAGGACCAAGGACTTGGCACTTGCCCATGTACCCAGATTTGGTCAAATCAAGACATAAGTCATGCTTTTCAAGTTCCTCTTTAAATGCACAGATTCAGAATCTGTGGTGGGCAGGGCTTGTGCTCCAATGTCCCGCAGGACTGTCTGCTCAGCCAGGCTCATCATGACTTCCTGTGAGGTCCAGGCACTTAGTTTCTCACCCTCTCAGTATGCATATCTGTAAAGGGCAGCTGTCGTGGCACCGAAGAACATGTGGCATCTCCGGCACAAAGTTGCTCCAATGATGACATGACGACGGTGATGGAAACACAGGACGATGACGAAAGCAGGGAGGAAGAGGTTGCTGGAAGCAGTGAGACGAGAAGACTGGCGCTGGTGTCAGTGTGCTTTCTCCAGGAAGGCCAGCAAGACGGCTCAGTTGGTAAAGGCGCTTACCACCAAACCCGAAGACTTGGGTTCCATCTCTAGGACCCGAATGGTCAAAGCAGAGGACAGCTGGTTCCCCGAAGCTGCCCTCTGGCTTCCACATGCACTGTGCACGGTGGCACACACTCCCACAACCCAAAATAAGTAATATGAGAATAAAAAAAAACCAGTAAGATGAGAGCTAGAATGTGCTGTGTTAGTAGACTGGGAGCAAGATGAACAAAGTGGAATACTATAAAAAACTTAGGCCTTAGAGGCATGAGGATGATGTTGATCCACCTCTACCCTCGAGGTGTACCAATCTAGCAGACAGGCCACGTGTTTCTGATCCCGCATACGAAGTGGAACCTCACAAATGGCAGAACCTTAAGACAAACGAGCTGTCTCTATCCCAACCCAGGGACCTATTAGGGATAGTGAAATTTCCTCTCTCTAGTTCCTGTGTCCTCAGTTATCTGTTTCTTGGCTCAGGAGATGTATTGCACCTTACCATTTTTCCACTCTGTACACTACAGGAACACAGGATTTCTCCAGTGTGATCAAATGCCTCACATTCTGCGCAGTAATCATATGTAGATAATGCCTAGAATTCATCATGGTTCCTATTTCCAAATCTTAAGATCTTTTGTTCTTTAACATACAGTTATGGAAGAGATGGAATAGCCTTTTATGAAATGGAATGTTCCTTTTTCGCTCTGAGTGGAGAGCTAAACTACCTTTCTCGTGACCAGCGCAGGTAAGCCACACGAATGAGTTCTAGCCAACGAAATGCATATATGACTGATGAATACTCCTTCCACATGGTCTCTTTGTTTGCAGTTCAACTGTATAATTTCAGTCCTAGGAAACAGTGTGACCAATGGAAGGAAATAGCCCCGGTCTGAATAATCACACGGAATAGAATTGGTGTCTCTTCTCACCAAATAATCTCCTCTTATTGGTTTGGGGTCCAAATGAGAAATGCATGTTTATTATACTGTGCCACAGCAATGTGGGGAGTTAGCAGACTATCCTGCCCAATTCAGTACTCATTTCTGCTTTCAGTTTGTATGTGTATACCTTGCTCCAGAAGCTGGAAGGGTTATTTTAGGTTTACAAGGCTACCCAAGCACTTTCCTAGCAGTCACGTACGTTACACTAAAGAAACAAACAAGTGAAGCCATCGATCCCATAGCTAAGTACCGAATGTCTCCGTCTCCATTATCTCTACTCTACTCACCAGGGCTGCTTTTCTCGCCTAGGTTACTGAAACAGCTGCCTCCAGTTTTCTCCTTGCCCTCATTTTCATTCCCCCAGCATCACTGCCCTGTCTATGCTGAGTAATCTTTCTGATATGAAAATTTGGTTTTATCCTTCTTTTGCATAAATTCCATGACTCGACAGCACCTCGCATCTAAGAACAAAATAAATTAGCATACTTTTACAGCTTTTTCTCTTTTTTTTTTTTTTTTTTGTTTGTTTTTTGGCTCCTCAGTCATACGCCTTAATGTACTATATGGCTTAACCGTCTCCAACTATGACTCTAAAACACTTGGGTTTCAAGACCCTACTGGAAGCAGTTGTGGACTGCACAAGTGGCTGATGTCCTCTTTGCTGACTGAAGAAGTCATACAGATTGACTATGTATGTGTCACAACCTAATGCGCTAATACATGAAACACAGGCAGTTACGTGAACTATTGGTATCACTGCCATTTCCCAATGTGTGTATTTAGTCTTATGATTAATAATCAAAATTTAACTCAGAGGTTAACTTTTTCTAACTATTTCTAATGTGTTTTCCAATACAGGATGCTAAAACATAACCTCTGTCTACGCATCAGGGGCTATGCATTTTCATGTTTAAAAAAAAGAATAGGCTCCACCCCCTGAATATTTACGCATTGCTGCTCTAGGCATTGCACACTATTTGGAAATCCTCGACTGGACAGAGACCCTGATTTTGTACATGTGGCAGATTCTGTGGCTCAGACTGCTCATCCTCCAGTCTGGGCTACGCTGCAGAAAGCAGTAGACATCCTTTCCATTTTCTATTAAAGTGTAAGAGCAAAAGCTCAGGCCACATGGAGGAGATGAATCCCTCTGACACCAGCAACCTGGAGACAGGGTGCGGTCCTTTCCTTGCTTTCCTGGCTGATTTGCTGTGTGAGTGATTCTGTAGCTGCCTTTCCACAGCAGAGCTCCTGCGTCCATCTTCTGGCTTTCGAGGGTGTTGAAAGGAAGATGAAGAGGCAGCCGCAGCAGGATGTCTTCCTGATCTCTCATGAGTGGACAGCGACATGGTCTTGTTGGAATCACTCTACTGGTGGCCTCGGTGTGACAGGACTCCATAGTCTTCTGGGAGTCATTCTTGCAAGGCCAGCAGATAGATCATTCTTCTGGTTTCCCCGCGATTTCGCCCTAGCCACCCTGTCCTTCTCATCTTAAGGTAGTGAATTGGCTGTTTCATTCACTGAATCCTGACCGGCAGAAGCTTCGGAAAGTCACCCCAACTCATACAAGCTTTGGAAAACAGGGCTGTGACATGGAACAGATGCTTTTGGCTTCCTTCTACCACCCTGCCCTTACCCTCCTCTCCAGGTCCTCAGTTTGAAGCCTCCACTAACCCCTCAACTGAGTCAAAGACTTTCCCTTTCTGTTTCCTGTCGAGACACACCTCTGTGCCGGCACTTTGTACTACTGGGTAAGATCGATCAAGTGTTTGTTTGAGCAACTTAGATAATAAATCTACATTTGATTAGTGACTTATTCTCGGGTAATTAGTTATATTGGTAGAGTGAAGAGAAATGAATGGAAGTGGAAAAAATGAGAATAACAATAAAATAAACAGATGTGTGACCAACTTTTATCAAAGAAACTTAGCAGCATAAGGAAGGATGTGTAGTTGTCTTATACAATGGTACCAGCCCAAGTGTATGTAAAACAGGCACGGTGTGCTTAGTTTGTCTTTTAACTTTATTTTGTTAGATATTCTAACTAAGAGATCCATATAATCTAGACCAGGGATCAGCTTTTTTTTTTCCTGGAAAGAGACAAATAATAAACACTCTGGGTTTCTGTAACAAATATACAACAATTTTCTTGAGAAAGCAGTCATACCTACATGGGCAGATAATACAAATGCATCAGTGTTCCAGTAAAACCCCCCTGGTCTACGGACATTGAAATTGAAATTTCATATAATGCACACATGCTACCCGGTATCGTTCTTCTCTTCATTTCTTTAGCATTAAAAGATGTAAAATTCATATTGAAATACACAGTGGGAGACAGAAAGAAAGCGAAGCGCAGATCCAGCTTTTATACCGGCAGGAGTTCACCAACCCTGGCTGAGAGGCTTAAGGAAAGGTCTGAGTTTGTGGTATGAGCCAAGTTAGATTTTAATTAATTGATTTATTAAAGATTTAATTTTTTTAAATTTATGAGTTTGTGTTTCTGTGCATATATGCACATGTTTGTGTAGGTACTCAGTACCCATGAAGGCCAGAAGAAGGAATTTCATCCTCTCTTGTAAGCGCTGGGTATGGGTGCTCGAAACCAATTTCTGGTCCTCTGAAAGATCAGCAAGTTTTTTTTTAATGGCTGAGCCAAGTCTGGGGAATTGGACCTCGGGCTCTACACATGCTTGGTAAGCACTCTACCATTGATCTCTATCTCTAGGTAGTTTCTTAATCATTAAGTGGACGTTGGTGGCGTTTCTATTTTTCTCTATATAAAAATGAAGCTTATAACACATTACTGGTAAAATCAATTCTGACATAAAAAATGATGGTTAAAGGTTTTGAGACCGCAAGGACAGCCCTGTGTCACATGTAAGAACCTGTAGGTCCACAGAGAGCAGGCTACGTCAAGTATGTGGGAACTAGCATGTGACAGTGATGTCTATGTATTTGGCAAGACTTATGGTGAACAGTATGTAGCAAGAATATATTATCCTACTCATTTATGAAATGAAAGGTAAAGAGGCACAAATAATATGTGGAAGATTAGCACACTCTATTTTTGTTCCCATCCAAAAATGGACAAATCACCTTAATTACAGTTTTCAATAAAACAGATGCCAAGAGATTATAGTCCTACACATTATACCTGTGCTAGTTTCCAGAAGAAGAAAAAAATCTTGTAGCTTTTCAAAGACTCATGGAATTAGAGAGGTGGAAAGGACACCGCTTGCCACCCCCAATTCATAATTGAGAAAGTCGTGGGCACAGAGCTGTCAATTGACAGCTAGCAAGGGGGCTGGATAAGGTTTGGAGGGGGGCGGCTCGGGGCAGACCCTGCCTCTGGAAACCACTGCCGTGCTCCTCCTACCTAATCAAGATGTAAAACCAATTTTGTTCTATGTTTTAATAAAAATTGCCCAAGAGTAAATCTAACCATGAATTTAAAGTTTAATTGCACGTATTTCTATGAGTTACAAAGCATTTGCCTTTATGATGTGTAAAGTGTTCAGTTTGATGTTACATAAACTCTGTTACAAGACACATAAATATAGCATAATTTATCATATTTCTTACTGATAAGATTATCTATCATCCAAAGTCCTGAGACGTGGAACCATAGTGGGTAAGGAAGGATAACCTGTGATCCTAAAGAACAGAGCGAGGGCTGGAGAGATGGCTCGGTGGCTGGTCTTCTAGAGGACCTGGGTTCAATTCCCAGCACCCATGTGGCAGCTCATAACTGTCTGTAGCTCCAGTTCCAGGGAATATGACACCCTCACACAGACATACATGCAGACAAAACACCAATGCACATAATAAATAAAAATAAATAAATTATTTTAAAAAAAGAGCAGAGTGAGGCTAGAAAGAAAATAATCATTGTCACTTCATGAGCACACACACACTAATGAGCTACTCTCTGCTGCGTTCCTATTGCATTTAAGAAGTTAAGGAATGATTTCCTACTTACTTTAGGCATTCCAGCCTTTCACTTCTGTCTAAAATTGTACAATTAGACTTACGGTGTTGTACAGACCTCACAAAAAAAAAAAAAAAAACATTTCCCATGGCTCTATGCTTACAAATCCCAAGAAGTCCTCTCCTGTTCTCATTCAAAACTGGAATGCTCCGACTCCCACACCCTGTCTCCATAAGACTCATCTCGCTTTTCAGTCCATGGAAATAACTTATTGACTCTGCTTATTGTCTATTGTATTTACGCTCTCGTGTGCAACGTACCCTCCATGGCTGCTGTCTTCCTTTGTTTTCTTCTCTGATTTAAGAAGGTAGAACAATCTTTGAACACAATAGTTACTTGGGGAATATTTGTTGAATCAGTGAAGTTAAGAAAATAGAGGAATATGGCATTTGGAACATTTTGACATATTACATGTTTAATTTTTAAAAATACTTGGGGAATATATATGAGAAGACTGCAACAAACAGAATTACAGAATGCCAAAGAACACGGGCATGGAGCTCCTGTGGGTCAGACTGAGGACACATCCATTGCCTTGCAGTTCTTATGACGACTATTGTTATATTCAATTTACAGTTAGTGAAAATGAGGATAGTTAGTCTGTCAAGAACTATACAACTGATGGGGGGTGGACCCAGAACTCAAACTCCACATCTACCTGACTCCAAAGCCCATGTGTACAATCCTTGTTCTGGGGCAAACTACTGAGAGCAACCTCTATGATCAAGGGAGCAGATGGAGCCTCCCAGCCTCCTGGAATGGTGCCTTCGGTGACACACCTGTAGATTCACACTGAAAAGATCTGGATTTCTGCCGTTGTAATCTTGACATTTACTACTCGGCATGACTCTTGCTACAGCTGGAAGGATCTCCTAAAATGAATTTTAATTAAAAGAAAAGTTAAGCAGCCAGGCACGGTGGTTCATGTCTATAATCCTAGAGTTGGAGAGGTTGAGGCCACTAGGACTTATGTGAGTTCAAAGTCAGCCTGGGCTACAGAGTAAGACATTGTCTCAAAACAAAACAACATCAACAAACAAAACAAAAGGAAGTTAGTCCCTGTTTCACTCAACAATTAATCAATCAATCCTCAAAGCACAGAATTTAAAATATCAATCTTTGTCATCTTTGCCTGGACAATGGAAAATGGCTTAGCCAGCTGAATACTTGTGGAGCTGACATACCGGGGCAGCAGGTAGCAGAGCTGCCTCGTAGCATACCTGCCTCCGTGTCTGTGATTACCTAAGGGTCAAGCAATAGAAAGCAATTTCTCCCTGGATATAATTATAAGCACTTTTCCCTTTCTCTCTCTCGCACTCTAAATTACGCTGACATTTTCCCACATATATTTCTCCTCTACTTACAAACCGAAACATAGAACATGATTTACCACCTCCGTGCTTCAAGAAGCAGAATCGGACACTGGGTCCAAATCAAAATGGCTGTGGAGTCGCTAAGAAGACGGGGAGGGAAAGGGACATACAGGACAGGGAGCTAGGAACTGGTGTTCTGAACTGGGAAGGAGAAAGTCCAGTTGGAAGAGCTCAGCCATGGAGACGTTTACATTAGAGGGTCTCTGTGGATCCTGACAAGACAGTTACTCACGTCTGCCCCATCCACAGCTTTCTCTTCACTAAACAGGAGTAAGATCTCAGCTGTTGTCACAGTAATTATGGAGAGATGATTGTTTCTGAAGATTCAGAAGCAAGAAAGTCACTATTAATAAAGTCGTTAGGAAATTGTTACTAAGACATAAAGATCCAAGACTTTCAGTCACTTTGCAAGTGTCAGGATGTGTCACAGGGACGCCTCACACAAGTGACCATTTAAAGAGGAATCCCAACCACTTCTCAGAGAACACAGCTTACTTGTGGAACAATTACTTCCGCAGTCAAGCCATTCTTAAGCTTAGGTATTCATAAACAATCAGTGTGTTCGGGTATTTTCTTAATATTTATACATTACACTATAAGTCCAAACCAGGCATTTTAACTTTTAAAGATCACTGGGTGATTCCAATAATCTACACTTTGAAAAATACTATTATCAGATTTTAGAGTACAAAGGATACAGCATTGGAGTTAAATTGAGGCTCTCCATTTCTGTCCCTGTTTCTCTCTCTGTCTCTCTGTCTCTCTGTCTCTCTGTCTCTGTCTGTCTGTCTGTCTGTCTGTCTGTCTCTCTCTCTCTCTCTCTCTCTGCCTTTCACTCTCTCCCACCTCTCCATGCGTGTGTGTGTGTGTGTATGTGTATGTGTGTGTGTACATGTGTTGGTGCCCATGCAGGTGCATGCAGAAGCCAGAGGCCTCAGGTTGATATGGAGATTTCATCCACTATGGCCCTTCATATATGTTTTGAGATTAAGTCTCTCAATGAAGCTGGGGCTCACCATTAGCCTCGACTGGCTGGCTGTTGAGCACCCCAGGATCGTCCTATCTCTGTCTCCCAACAATGGGATTGTAGATGTTTGCTGCCATGCACTGCTTTTTATGTAGTTACTGGTGATCCAAACTCAGTTCTTCATGCATGTACAGCAAACACTTTACCCAGTGAATAATCTCAGCCTCTCCACAAATTGAGTTCTTGATCTACTGTGGACAAATATTGAGAAAGCTAAAAAAGTCAAATC